GATTACATCATTTTGTTAAGTCTAATTTAGTGTTGTGTCAAATAGTTGATTTCAGATTTATGTTTAATTCCGATTCCGAAATAGGGCATGTCCATGTTCGGAATTGATGTATTATTTAGTCTATAAATAGCGTGCATGCAACATATAGGGTTACAACTTTTGAAGCAGCTACGAAATAGTTCCGCCTCCAAGAACTGCATCCAGAAGACAATCAGGATATTCTCATCCAAATAGAAAGAGAACAACTAAGTACTTTCTACACCACAAACGCTCTTTCAAAAAAACAAGTGTGGTCCAAATGACGAATCACTTAAATCAGTGGATATGGAATGAAGGTACTGAGCAAGTTCGGACAAGACTGCCTTCTACGCAGCTACCACATCACTCGGAATACTGAGAAGCAACTCATAATCTCGGATTCTAATTTCCCAACGATCAATCCAAATGATGTACTCATGACTGCAACAAACCTCAAAGACAAACAAGATAGTGAAACAAGCATTGGAGCTTATAGTGCAACAATGAACTTTTTGAAATATTATATTGCTGAATTCAATCGATCAGATGTTGAATTTGCTCCATTATTCAAGACCGAGAAGCTCATTGCTCCAGTTGACACTAAGCTGGAAGAAATTAACTTGTTGAATGAAGGTCCAATTTCAGAACCAGAACTTGGATATATCTACAAGAGGAATAATTCAGAGAAGAAGGAATTCTTCAGAGCTGGACAAAAGCACTTGGTTCACACCAGTGTGCTTCGGAAAAGATTATTTCCAAAATTGCCAAGTCTGATGCTTCCAAACAAGTCAAGGAACAATTGATCAAACAACTTAGTTGGTGGATTGAAGTTAAGAACTGGTTGCAGACTGCTTATCTGTTCGTTTTTGTAGATCAAGTATAAAGGCTCTCTGATTGCCAAATTTACTTACGGGGAGATTGTTAGTTCAAAACAAGTGATCCCTTGGCAATCTAGAATTCTATAATCCAAGCTTATTGTTGTTTTGTTCGATCGAATTTTATTCTGGGATTGACGAATGTCCGAAATTGTCTGTAATCTGAAGTTATGTTTAGAGATTGATGACTCTATGATTGTACCGTTATGTCTCTATGTAATTTGTCTTTAGTTCAGTAGCGCATGTAGGAGACAAGAGTGAACCACACCAATGTGTCAAGTGGTTGATCTGTAAGTAGCTTTTAGTATAAATGTATCCTCACATGATTGGTCCTAAGATAGTATATATAGGACCCTTCCCCATGTAATTATTTATCACTTTCACCTTTGGAATATCAACTAAAGAATCATTCAGTCAATCGTTTTCTCTAACATTCTTCTTTGTCTTTGTTCATTGTTCATACTTTAGTTTAATATTTTGAGCACTTTGTTGAGTTATCATCTTCAAGGCTTGACTGGTTCCTCCAGACTTGATTGAAATATTTATTAGCAACTATTGTCGTGTTTAATTCAAGGTTTGAGTTTTCAAACATTGTCCGTGCAATCCTCGTCATCACAGTTTGTGTTACTTGAGTCTTTAGTGCTAATGTTCTTAATTTGTTTATAATTGGAATTGATTTCACATCTTTGTTGTCTCGAAACAGATTTTTGAGGTTTATCTGGATTGTTCGGGTAGTGACATTACTATTTAATTTCATATGAAGTAGAGATTGGGATGTACTTTAGATCCAGAGTTTACGATAAAATTGATTTTCGTCAACTTTAAGTTAGTTGGTCTCGCTGCTTGAGCATCCATGGAGGCAACAACATTATCTATTGTGCCAAATTCCATGCAATGTGTCTCGAATAGTTCTCACCGGGCGTCATAATCTAGTCACTTAAGATCAAGGATAAAAGGAATGAAAGCTTTGATTTTGGTTTATTTCGTATGGTTTTTTAGAGGGTGGAGGGTTTGAAGAGACCATCTTCGTTGCCCATGGTGATCATTGATAATCAGAAAGAATATAGGAAGTAGGTGCATATAGAGATCGTGACACAAAGAAGAGAGAGAGTGAGAGAGTACGAATTATGTATTTTGCTTTGATACCGTACGGAACAATCCTTTTCCCATAAACTAGATATATTAATGGTAATTATATACAAATTACAATAAGGTCTAATGGGCTATGGCCACGGGGTAACAATATACATACATACATATCTCCATACACTAAGGCCTCGTTTGTTTTTCTACAAAAGTACTTTTTGAGCACTTTTCCCTTCTGGCGGGTAGACGTTTCTCAAGTGCACATCTTCTTCCGCAAACATGAAAAAAGACAAAAGACATTTAACCACTTCCAAAACAAACAACACCTAAGTCAACTGTTTGGGTATTGCTTAAATCTTCCTTGGTGTTATGCATCACTCCTTTTTCGTAGAATTAAACGATAGCAATCAAGAGGAAGACACTCTATGTGTGAGAAAAAAAAAGGGGGAGGAGGGTTAAAAACTTCATGCACACACACCAAAAAAAAAAAAAAAAAAAAAAACTTGTGTTTGATCAATCGAATGATCAAACCACATTAACTTATAGTTCAATTTCAATTTTATACCTTTTCCATATCTATTTTCCTCCACAAAACTTGAAGACACCTAAACCAGACACCTAAACCACTAAGCCAAAAGAATGAAAGATAGCTTTGCTATACGTTTATATCCAATTTAAATTTTTTTATTTGTTGGTATGGCAAACCAAAATATATATATATATATATATATATATATATATATATATATATATATATATATATATATATATATATATATATATATATATATATATATATATATATTGGAACGAGCTTGGGCCTACTGTCTTTCATACCAGCCCATGGGTCGGTTCACTTTGCCCCGTTTTATCATCTCTAAAAGTTTTTATGAAATGACAAATACATAAAACCCATAATATATTCGTGCATATTTGAAAAAATTCCTATTATTTTTATTTTGTTGGCTCTGGCCACAAATGGGACGTCACTCTAGTCATTTAACATGTTTCATGGTTTACTCCGTTATCTTTTTTTTCAAAATCAGTCCTAAAATTAAGTTTAAAGTTTAAATTTGGTCCCTGTAGTTTGCAAAAAATTACACCACATTTCTAAAACTCAGTTTTATGTTTTTTAACTTCTTTATTTTTATTTATTTTCTATTTTTTTAGTCAACTAAACTTGGTTTTATATATATCTTTTATTTTTTTAATATTTTTTGTTTTTTTGTTTTTTTTACGTTTTTGGTTTTTAAGTTTATTTCGTATTTATTTTCGTTTTTTTTGTATTTATTTTGTTTTTTTTTTGTATTTTTTTTTACGTTTTTTGTTTTTTTACGTGTTTTGTATTTTTTCGGTTTTATGTTTTTTTAACTTTTTTATTTTCAAGAAAAAGTTATCAAATTCATGAAAATAAATACAAAAAAATTAAAAAATAAATACGAAAAAATTTTAGAAAAAATCGAAAAACAAAAAAAAAACAAAAAAAACAAAAAAATACGAAAAATATTAAAAAAAATGGAAAATAAATATAAAACCAAGTGTAGTTTTGACTAAAAATAATAAAAATAAATGAAAATAAAGAAGTTAAAAAACATAAAACCAAGTTTTTGACATGTGGTGTAATTTTTTGCAAACTACATGGACCAAATTTGAACTTTAAACCCAATTTTATGATTGATTTTGCAAAATAATAATAATAATAATAATACAATAACGGAATTAACCATGAAACCTGTTATATGGGTTAGAGTGATAACTCTACGTCCTATTTGTGGTTAGAGAAAAAAAATAATAAAATAGAATTTTTCCCAATTATTATATATATATATTAAGATTGTGAAAAATTTTAACAGTAAAATGACACATTTTTTGTCTTTTTTGGTCCTCCACTACTTACAACATTGACCGTTCACCTTTATGTTTTTGTTCACAAACAACCCTTTAACTTTGATTTGAATTTTTCATAACCATTGCCTTTTATTACATATTATTAGTATTTCTACTTACAACATTGACCATTCACCTTTATGCTTTTGTTCACAACAACTCTTTCATTTTGGTTTGAATTTTTCATTAAACCTCGCATTTTATTACATATTATTAGTATTTAGTCATATTATATAATATATATAGTTTCCACATTAACAACTTAAGCCCTCAAACTTTTATCAATTTCGTTAAAATGTGTCTTATAAATTAAACCTTGACTTTTGGGCCATGATCAATATTGACAATTATTTGAATAATTATTATATATATATATATTAAAGATGTGAAAAATTTTAACAGTATATATATTAAAGATGAGAAAAATTTTAACAGTAAACATGGTGTTTTTTTGGCAGAAATGGTCCCTCAACTATATTTGGGTCATTTTAAAGTTGCTTCCTTTTGGTCTTTTTTGGTCCCTGTGGTTTACCAGATTTAACACATTGAAGACAACGATGGAAACCGAAATTACTCTCTTACTCCTAATCCGATTTTTTTTATTAATTTATATTTCTCTTTTTCGTTTTAAATTAATGTTTTATTTATTAGAAAATACTCACCCAATACCATAAAGCCACCCACCATCTGCCATCATCACCACCACCACCACCAAAATTACATAAATGGTCCATATGGTTTACCTGTGGTCACAAATTCAGTCCCTACTACCTGAAAAGACCAAATTACCCTCACAATAACGGACTAAAAGCAACAGTCTATATTTTCCAGATTGGTTTTCCGGCCGCTGCCATACATGGCAATAAAGTTCAATTTGTGACGCCAGTTCTTTATTTTCCTCATTTATTGTAAGAAATAATTATTTAGATTTCTTTACTTATGTAATTAGATGACATTGTTTATCTTCCTTTAATGGATTATCTCAGTTCAATTCAACATGCTACTTTACTTTACAAAACAAAACATTCCGACCCTGGCAACGCCGGGAATCCTTTCTAGTTAGGCATTTTAATGGTTTTTATGTATTTGCCCTTTATGAAACGTAATCATGATCCGGAATTTAGCCGTTTAGGATTAAAACATGTTTCTCATTTCGGACCCCGTCGCTTTTGGACATTTACAGCTTGCCATTTTCGCAAACACTTTGAAAGCAATACGCTGCACAGACGAAGTGGTCTTTCATCCCCTTGTTGGAGTTCGATCGAGTTTAAGCTTATCTGAAAAGCAATTCTTTAGGTCACTCTCTCACCTAGTTTTATTACAGTAACTTTTGATTTATGCAACTCGATTTCTGTTCATTGATTTTAAATTGAAACCGGATGCGCGACAAAGAATCGCAACTGTTATCCGGAGTTGATAGAACCAATTAAGTTGAAAAACAACCAAATCAGAATAGCATAGTTAAGTGAGTTCGAGGATTTGACTTTGTCTTCGATGAATTTGTTAAGCACAATTTACGAAGTTGAAGGATAAATGCAAGTATAAGGAATTGATATGAACACATTTAGTCATTGTACACCATATTTTTGGGGAACAAGTTGTCTGTTTAGCATTTTCTTCTTTATGTGGCTTATGTTATCCATGATTGCTGACACCAACCGGATCTCCTTGAATGGATTGTAGCTGTCTTTTTCTTTCCATAAACTTCCCTTTCATAGCTTGAAAGTAATAAACGAATTTGAAAAATTTCCCCTTTTGTTCCTTCTTGTTGTCTTACTTCTCTTGGTTAGGTTTCCAATCTAGTATATATCATCCAACACAACAAATACAATTGGTAACTTGAAGCTGTTTCTTATGCTGCTATCGGTATCATTCCAAGCATCTTTCAATTTTAGTCAATATCACCAAAATATTTTGTACAGATGCGTATGGGTGTCAGATTCGTTTTTTAGATATGAAAGAGACATGCATACAAAAGACAATGCTTCCAAAATCTCTAAAAATGAAAAAAATCTAACAGAAACTTCCAAACAACTCATGATACTATGTATATATAGCCAACTTGTGTGCCTCACATTTTTCATCTCATTAGGTGTAGCTTATCCAAGAAAAGTCAACAAACAGCAGCAACAATGATGAACAGCATGCAATCCCAATCCACAGAGAGGTTAGAATGATTTTTGAATAACTTCATCAGATCTTTCAAGAACCTTTTTTTTTTATCTTCTTGTGTTTTTTGATTAGTTTAAGGTATGCGGTTGTGACTGGAGCAAACAAGGGTATTGGGTTTGAGACGGTTAGACAGCTGGCAGCTGCTGGCGTGACAGTCGTGTTGACAGCTAGGAATGAGAAGAGAGGTATGGAGGCCATGTCATTGCTCCATGGGCTTGGTTTTCCAAACGTACTATTCCATCAGCTTAATGTACAAGACCTTCAAAGCATAGAAGGTTTGGCCAATTTCATACAAACCCGATTTGGAAAACTTGATATCTTGGTAATTACTAGACTTTGAAGAAACTTAAAGCTACCCTTTTAAGACCAGAATTTTTCTAATTTTGTTTTATTTATAACTAAAAAGGTGAATAATGCTGGAGCTTCTGGAGTTGTGGTGGATGAAGAAGGTCTAAGGGCTCTGAATATAGATCCAGCATCTTGGGTAAGCAAATTACATAATTGTCCTCTCCTTGTATGCATGTGACTTTAGTTTTATCTAATGAAATCCAACTTGGTTGTAGCTATCTGGCAAGGCCACGAACATGGTTCAAGGGGTGATTAAAACAACCTATGAAAAGGCAAAAGAATGTCTTGACACAAACTATTATGGTGTCAAGAATCTTACACAGGCACTCCTTCCACTCCTACAACGTTCCACTTCCGGGGGTAGAATCGTAAATGTCTCTTCCCTACGAGGTGAATTATGGGTAAGAGGTTGATTCTTTTTGACTTATTGATGAGCTTCTGTTAATCACTTAACCTGGGCATCTATATATGGTTGTGTCTTTTTGACTTAATATGGACAGAATGACTTAATGAGTTGAGCCAAAAAAAAGGCTTGCTTAATGTATTAAGACACCAACCCTTTAAACTCCTACCAAGTTAATGTTGATGAATATTGTAAAAAAATTTGAAATATAAGGGTTGTTTCATTCAAACGGTTTGGCTTATTCGGTATAGAAAAGAAACAAACAAACTTTATCCAGAGAAACATCATTACCCATACATTTTTTTAATGGGGAAAACAAAGACACTTGTATATGTAGTTTTGAGTATTTGGTGTTATAGTATGTTGTGTGTAATTATTATGTATGTAGAGGATTCCGAATGAAGAAATAAGAAAGGAACTCGCAGATGTAGAGAATTTGAGTGAAGAGAAGATCGATGGGTTTGTGGAGAAGTTTTTAGATGATTTGAGGAACGATGAGCTTGAAGTCAAAGGATGGTCAAAGATGTTACCGGCTTACAGTGTGTCAAAGACATACCCGAATATGTGCATTAATTGTGTGCATCCGGGATATGTCGACACCGACTTGAACTGGCACACAGGTACAATGACATTGGAAGAGGGAGCACAAGGGTCGGTTATGTTGGCTCTTTTACCCCAAGGTGGTCCCACCGGTTGCTATTTTGATCGTACACAAGTTGCTCAATTTTGACCCTCTTGTTTCTTGTATCTATTAATTTTATCTTCTTGGTTTTTCCTTTTTCTTTCCTGGACTAGTCTATGAAACATCAGACACAATATCAAGAATTTGACCTCTTTTTTACTTCATGTGATAACCAACCTCACAGGGTTAGTAGCACCAACTATTATGGATGTTTTGAAACTGATCTAAGTTAACCTTTTATGAGAAACAATGTGCATATATCTGCCATGCCCTTATCCTCTATATGGGATGAAATTGATTTGATTATATTACAAAAAAAAAAATAGTTGATTGGTATTTCGTGTAAATGCTGAAATGGAAATTTGAAATTATTTTATTATGGCTTCCGTTGACATAGAAAGCTAATCATGAATGATGAACATGAACCCCAAGGAAGGCCAGAGTTTTGGATGTGTTAGTAGTATGTGCACTCTACTTCTTCTTCTATAGTAATAGTACTACCCTTCCCTTTGTCTATACAAACCAAAATCTCGCGCCAACAAATACAAAAACTCTAGTATTCTTTTTTTTTTTTTTTTTTTTTTTTTTGTCAAGTTAAGAGAGAGATTTACACTACACGTTGAAAGAGAAACTAAATGATATCCACATACTCCTCGGCCTGGTTATCACCTGGTCCTCTAGGCATTCCTGGGACCATCAGATCTTCCATACATGTATCGCTCATCCCCACCTGATTTTGATTTTAATTTTAATATTAATAATCAAAAATAATATAATTATAATATGATTTATTTATTACCACCATCACTGTCGGATGCATCTGCAAGCTTTGCAATCACATCAATCAATGCTCGTTCATGTTCCTACACAAATCAAAATATATCAACCTACTGTCTGCTTGCTACAATCAAGGATCATTCCTTCCTCTACTATTTTGTTAATTTTCATTGCTTAGTAATGGGGTGTTTTTTTCTCCATTCCACATGAAATAGAAGGAAAAAAATGCAATATAACCCATTTTAACTTATATTGTGCATTATTTGTTAAATTAATGAGCTTTTATTATGTTTATTTTTTTTTGATGGGAAGGTTTTCATGTCATGTCATACCTTGAGCATTTTCTTTGCTTTTTCTATCTCAAGCAGATCCGGATGAGTAGCATCAAACACCTTTTCCACCTGCCAAGATTTAATAAAGATTCAGAGAAGAATAAAAAGAAAAATTTATAGCCTAATTACAGAAAAGATTAATATTATTAGAAGCAAATCACCTCTTTTAAAAGAGTATCGGTGTGAAGTATTTCTATTTCATCTGAAGCTTTGGTGTCACCATTTTGCAAGGGTGGGTTTGGGTTTGGGTTTGGGTAGGCTTTTCTAGATTGTTCCTTTGAGTTCCCTCTACCCCTTCCAAATCCATGCCCTGGCCCACCATGAGTAACTTGATGAGAACCCTGCTCCTCACCTATCCATTGAATATCCTCGGGTGGAATCTGGGATTTTAAGGTTTAATACTTTACTTTACAAATTATAACCACAACATGTTAAGCTTCAATGTATGTACTTTATAAATGATGTTGAAAATCTACCTCCTTCAGGTTAACCCATTCAAAGCTTTCCTGTGGTGTATTCTTGTTATAAAGTAGTGCGTGTCGTCCCTGCCAAAATTATACATAGATATATTTAAATTGATGGATATGGATTGGTGTCAAAAATTAAGTTTTACAGTAATAAAGTCGATACCTGTACAGGGTTGTAGTCAACTATGACAGCCTCGTAGAAGTTATTGTCATCAGGCCATCTAGTTCTTAATTTCCTTCCAATTAATTGATCCCTTGTAGTACCCACAACCACATCACTTGCTTCATTTGGTATAGCAATAGTAGAAGATCCATGATTTGAAAGCATTCCCCTTGGAGTTCTCCCCATTAACGGGTATCTTGGGGACTTCATTCACAAATCACATTTAAAAGATTCAATATTTTAATTCTTAATTATAAAAAAAATAAATAAATAAACATTACTTAGGGGTTGTTTCTTTTTTTTGATTAAAAACACTTGGCTTAATGTATTAAGACACTAACCTTTTACCTATTTGCCCTTCTTTTTACCTCCCAACTCCACTCACACTAATAGTATCGAATATTGTTAAACTTGATGAATATTGTGAAATTTGTTTTTTTGGAATATAAGGGTAAAACAGTCATTTATTCTCATTCAGCTGCTTTATTCATTCTAGACAAGAAACAGACCTTATGCATACAACAATTCATCCAGACAAACATCATTACCCATTAAGCCACTTCACCTATACAGGACTTAATGGAGAAAAAAAAAAAACAGCCCCTTTAAAATTGAATTCTAATGTACTCACAGGTTTAGGGGTTTGGATTCCAGCTCCTAAGCCAGGAAACGATTGTGTGGGTAAAGACAGGGGCATAGTCGTCTTTTGCCTTTTCCGAGATGCTGAAATTGTTGGACTGAGTGAAATAGGGTCGTGGATAGATTGGGGAATGTTGAGCATTGTGGTACGTGTCCCTCCTGATGTCCTCCACTCCCTTATCCTTATAATGATGTCATCTGTATTTTTACCTTTGAGAGTAGTTCTCTATGTTCATCATCAGAAACTCGCAGCTCTTTCCGAAGTTCAGTTATTAATCCTTCCTTCTCCTGAGAGGGCATTTAAGTAAATTCATCAGATCAATCACAAATCAAGTCTGGGATATAGAGTTGTAGAAAGGTTTAAATCATACCCATGAAAGCGCATCAGATTGTGCTTTGAAAGCTCGTAGCACTGAACTGTATGCTACTTGCTCAAGGTAATGAATTTGTGACTCCATCTCATGTTGCATCATTGTAAAACTGACCCTGTAAAATCTACAAAATTAGCAAACGAATAAAGAAACCATATAGAAATATTATGGTATCCTATTACATTAGATCATTGTTCTTTCCTCTTTTTAACCCTATTAGGATTTCCTTTCAGCTATATATTTAATAATCAAAACCGACGGATTTTAGTCATCCAAGATACCAGAAATCTCTAGTAGTTTGATGTGGACCCTACTTACCTAATAAATACATATGCAACCATCATTCCTTTTGTTTTGTTGGTAAGTAATTGCATGTTCCGATTGATTAACCAACAAGTGTTATATTTAGAAGGTTGGAAATGGATCCGTATTTATTAAAGATCCACACAAGAAAAAGGAATGTGTGGTTTCAATAAGAAAGATAAAGGGAAGGAAAATTAACTTTTTATTAAAAAATAAATGTTTAGAGGAAAGTACTATTCCAGGTATGCAAACAAATCATCATATTCTGTTTTGTTTGTCCTTTAATAAGTCAAGCCGACAAAAAATTGTCATCAGTCATCACCACACGAAAAATCACATGCCCCTTATCGCATGTAGGAAAAAGGGAAACATGGCTAAAATTATAAGGACACATTATCAAAGCAACTGTAGAAGAAGATGTGGACCATAAGTCTGTGTTTGTTTTTTAAAGTCTGCAGGCTACACGTAATTCTTAAATGTCTAAAACCAAAATAAACCCAACAATAGTAAGCACCAAATCCCATTGAAGACCTCCATATAGATATATTTGGGCTTGAAATTCAAAACTTTTATCAGTTCAAACAACAAGAAATCATGGAAGACTTTAACAACTGTTGAGATTGACAACCAAAATTAATCCAAATCTATGCAACATCCAACGGTTAGTACCAAAATTAATCCCAATCTATGCATCATCCCACTGATAATACTAAACTAATGAAAATGCACTCCATAAAAGTAACATAATCATATATTAATTCTTTTAAGTTGAGCACTGAGTTACTATATCACATAGTAACATTAATATTTCTATAGATAAAGATATCATAACCATCAACATTCATTTTCTAATGATCGGAGCAAACTAAACGACCACAATTGTGAATAAAAAGATTAAAAAAAACTTCCGACAACAAGCATAACCTGGAAATCGGACCTTTCGAGCATGAACAATGAAGAATTACACGTAGTTTCTAATGACGTACTAATCAAAATAAGTTATCTGGAAAAGCACCCAGTTATTTTACAAAATCAAAAGAAGATTTGCAATGTACTCGTTGATGTGTGTGTATCAGTGTATGTGTGAGAAACTTGGCAGCGGAAGCAAATAGACAGACTTCCAATCCGTACCTGGTGGGGAGGGAGAGAGACAAGAACACAGCCAGCGGAGAAGAAGAAAGAGGCAAGGAAACTAAGTAGAAGGTAAATTTAGCGGAGCAGATGAAGATGTATATGTATGCAATGCCAATACATCTTACTTGCAATTTCGTTGTGTTATAATTGCAGCTTATAAATGATTTTTTTCCGGCTATTAATTGGAGAAGAATGGGCGTTTTCTATCTCGAAACCCTAATAACAAGCCAAAAACATACAAATGGAAGGCAAGAAACCACCGAAAATAAGCTCACCCCAGCCCAATTTTGTTATCGTGGTGCATTTACACATGATTTAGCTGTAATATCCCCAATTTCAACCTTTAATTTCAGATAAACTATAGCTCGAAGCTTGAAAACAATTAAACGAAAGGGTAAACATAACCAAATTGGCATACTATATGTAACATTGAAACCCTAAACAATCTGCAGAACATAATAAATTTGCATCAAATTGGGTGATTACGAACAACTCACCGCTGCAGAAATCAAATCGCAAAGACCAGATCTTCTTCGAGATGGCAAAAGAACCCTAGAAGCCAGAGAAATTGATGCCAAAAATTGCTTCCCGGTCGAAGTGAATCCAATTGGTACGAATATAATAGTACTTCAATGAGAATCACGTAATGTGAAGAACTAGCCTAGCATTCTGCATGAATTTTGCAGAAAAATGGGATGAGTGAGACAGATTTTGCTTTGACAATGGGGAATAATTGGAAAAATAATGGGGTTTATATAGAGGGACGGAAGCGATTGGATATTGCTGACTACGGAAATGTATAGCGGACATGAAAGAATTTTCGAATTGGATTTTGTTTGTCGCCGGGGTTCCGTTTCTTTCCGTGAGTTGCATATGACACCCTCCAATTTTTATCATTATAAAACTTCAGTCCCTATCGTATTTTATATACTTTTATTTATTTATTTATTTTTTATGTTTGTTTGTGGCATTAAATATAATAAAAAGAATGGTTTGTTATTGTATGGTGAAAGAAAAACTCACACCCCACGTATAACGTTTTGT